CATAGTTTGAAATATTTGGTTCCTAAGATATAGTGATTAGAAAATCAGAGTTTGTGGCAAAGACTCAATTCCTCATTTATTCATTCATATTTTTATTCAACTACAAAGCACGAGATAATACAAAAAATCACAATTTACTATGTAGTTTGGACCAGCCTAACCAGAGTTAGTTGTTTTGATTGGTTGGCCCATTATAAGCGAATAAGAATTGTAAATAAATAGGTGGATGTACACTGTTCATCAAGTTGAGTTAGGATGGATAAGGGTTGGGTCGGATATATCAAGTTGATAAAGAATGGAACATTGTTGAGGTATATATTTCTTGTAAAGGAAGGATTGGTCATGGTTGAGTAGGATATATCAAGTTGAGGAAGGATGTATTAAGGTTGAGTCAGATATACTAATTTTAGTAAGGATGTTTCAGGATCGGATTGGATATATAAAGTTGAGTTAGGATGGATCAATTTGGGTCAGATATATCAAGTTGAATAAGGATGGATATTGGTGGGGTCGAAAAAATCAAATTGAGGAAGGATTGATCAAGTTTGGGTCAGATATATCAAGTAGAGTTAGGATGGATATGGGTGGGGTCGAAAAAAATCAAATTCAGGAAGGATTGATCAAGTTTGGGTCAGATATATCAAGTTGAGTTAGGAGGGTTGGTCGAAAAAAATCAAGTTGAGGAAAGATGGATCAAGGTTGGGTTGGATATATCAAATTGAGAAAGAATGGATCATAGTTGAGTAAGGTTGTTTCAGGTTTGGATTGGATATAACAAAATAAAGAAGGATGGATCAATTTGGGTCGAATATGTCAAGGATGGATCTGGGTTGGGTCAGATATATCAAGTTGAGTTAGGATTGATCAGGGTTGGGTCGAAAAAAATCAAGTTGAGGAAGGATGGATCAGTTTTGGGTCAGATGTATCATGTTGAGTTAGGATTGATCAGGGTTGGGTCGAAAAAAATCAAATTGAGGAAGGATGGATCAGGGTTGGGTCAGATATATCAAGTTGAGTAAGGATGTTTTAGGTTTGGATTGGATTGATATGTTAAGTTAAGGAAGGATGGATCAATTTGGGTCTGATATATCAAGTTGAGTTCTGATGGATCTGTGTTGGGTCAAAAAAAAAATCAAGTTGAGGAAGGATGGATCTGGGTTGGGTCGAAAAAAATCAAGTTAAGGAAGAATGGATTAGATATATTAAGTTAAGTAAGGATGTTTCAAGTTTGAATTGGATGGATATCAAGTTAAGGAAGGATGAATCAATTTGGGTCGGATAAATCAAGTTAGGCTAGGATGGATCTGGGTTGGGTTGAAAAAATCAAGTTGAAGAAGGATGTATTTAAAGGTTGGGTCAGATATATCAAGTTGAGTTAGGATTGATCAGGGTTGGATTAAAAAAATCAAGTTGAGGAAGGATGGATCATGGTTGGGTCAGATATATCAAGTTGAGTAAGGATGTTTCAGATTTGGATTGGATATATCAAGTTAAGTAAGGATGGATCTGGGTTGGGTCGGATACATCAAGTTGAGGAAGGATGGATGAAGGTTGGGTCAGATATATCAAGTTGAGAAAGAATGGATCATTGTTGAGGTATATATTTCTTGTAAAGGAAGGATTGATCATGGTTGATTAGGATATATCAAGTTAAGAAAGGATGTATTAAGGTTGGGTTAGATATATCAAGTTGATTAGGGATGTTTCAGGATTGGATTGTTTATATTAAGTTAAGGAAGTATGGATCAATTTGGTTCGGATATATCAAGTTGAGTTAGGATGGATCAGGGTTTGGTCGAAAAAAATCAAGTTGAGGAAGGATTGATCTGGTTTGGGTCAGATATATCAAGTTGAGTTAGGATTGATTAGGGTTGGGTCGAAAAAAATCAAGTTGAGGAAGGATGGAGCAGGGTTGGGTCAGATATATCCAGTTGAGTTAGGATTGATCAGGGTTGGGTCGAAAAAATTAAGTTTTGGAAGGATGGATCTGGGTTGGGTCAGATATATCAAGTTGAGTAAGGATATTTCATGTTTGGATTGGATATATCAAGCTATGGAAGAATGGATCAAATTGGGTCCGATATATCAAGTTGAGGAAGGATGGATCAGGGTTGGGTCGGATATATCAAGTTGATAAAGAATGGATCATTCTTGAGGTACATATTTCTTGTAAAGGAAGGATTGATCATGGTTGAGTAGGATATATCAATTTAAGGAAGGATATATTAAGGTTGGGTCAGATATATCAATGTGAGTAAGGATGTTTCAGGATTGGATTGAATATATCAAGTAAAGGAAGAATGGATCAATTTGGTTCGGATATATCAAGTTGAGTTAGGATTGATTAGGGTTGGGTTGAAAAAAAAATCAAGTTGAGTTAGGATGGATAAGGGTTGGGTCAGATATATCAAGTTGAGAAAGAATGGATCATTGTTGAGGTATATATTTCTTGTAAAGGAAGGATTGGTCATGGTTGAGTAGGATATATCAAGTTGAGGAAGGATGTATTAAGGTTAAGTCAGATATTTCAAGTTGAGTAAGGATGTTTCAGGTTTGGATTGGATGACTATATCAAGTTGAGGAAGGATGAATCAATTAGGGTCTGATATATCAAGTTGAGTTAGGATGGATCTGGGTTGGGTCGAAAAAAATCAAGTTGAGGAAGGATGGATCTGGGTTGGGTCAGATATATCAAGTTGAGTTAGGATTTATTAGGGTTGGGTCGAAAAAAATCAAGTTGAGGAAGGATGGATCAGGGTTGGGTCAGATATATCAAGTTGAGTAAGGATGTTTCAGGTTTGGACTGAATATATCAAAATAAGGAAGGATGGATCAATTTGGGTCGGATATATCAAGTTGAGTTAGGATGGATTGGGTTGGGTCGAAAAAAATCAAATTGAGGAAGGATGGAGCAGGGTTGGGTCAGATATATCAAGTTGAGTAAGGATGTTCCATGCTTGGATTGTATATATGAAGTTAAGGAAGGATGGATCATTAGGGTCTGATATATCAAGTTGTGTTAGGAACGATTAGGGTTGGGTCGAAAAAAATCAAGTTGAGGAAGGATGGATCAGGGTTGGGTCGGATATATCAAGTTGAGAAAAAAATGGATCATAGTTGAGGTATATATTTCTTGTAAAGGAAGGATTGATCATGGGTGAGTAGGATATATCAAGTTGAAGAAGGATGTATTTTAAGGTTGGGTCAGATATATCAAGTTGAGTAAGGATGTTTCAGGTTTGGATTGGATATATCAAAATAAGGAAGGATGGATCAATTTGGGTCGGATATATCAAGTTGAGTTAGGATGGATCTGGGTTGGGTCGAAAAAAAATCAAGTTGAGGAAGGATGGAGCTGGGTTGGTTCAGATATATCAAGTTGAGTAAGGATATTCCAGACTTGGATTGTATATATGAAGTTAAGGAAGGATGGATCAATTTCGGTCGGATATATCAAGTTGAGTTAGGATGGATCAGGGATGGGTCAGATAAATCAGTTGAGGAAGGATGGAACTGGGTTTGGTCAGATAAGTCAAGTTGAAGGCGGATTGATTAGGGTTTGGTAAGCTATATCAAGTTAAGTGAGGATGATTATAGTATGATGAAATCTAGGTTTTTAATACACATATCTTTGTAACCTGATATTGCTGAACTTGGAATTTCAAATTTTAAATTCTTCTAGATGGTTTAAAGTATCAAAGATCTACACCATCAGGTTGAAAATGACGTTTTGGTGGGTTGTGTCGAGATTGAATTGGATAGCGGACTGGTTGAGTCTGGACTGATACAGTTTGGACACAAATTTTTAAGAGTAAGGCATTTAGAGCCTGATTGGTAGCTAGATTGATTAGCTACGCTGACGTGTTCCTGTGTGGCATTTAGAGCCAGGTTGAATTGGTTGAATTGGATAGCGGACTGGTTGAGCCTGGACTGATACAGTTTGGGGAACGAACCTTTAAGAGTACGGCAATTACCACAACCTGGTCTAAACCGACCATAGGGGACTGGTCATTTTTCAACCTGTTAGGTAATCGACGTAACCTGACCATGAGTATCCACAAAAAAGTTTAGCCCATTTGGTCCAGCCGTTTGGGCTGCTGTAGGCAACATATTTATGAATGTCCTTTTTATTATATAGAGATATCCCAGCCTGTCCTAGCCGCAGTGCTTGGCCCAGAAGTTGTCTCAATCTAACCGAAATCTCAAATTAATATTAAATCTTGCAAGGTTTACAGTCCGGTTATCAGGACCAAAAAACGGCTGTCAGGACCTTTATTTGTGTCAGCGCAAAAAACGCAAAGCAAACCAACACATTTATAGAGTTTACCGATACGATTATACACTGAAATTGAATGTCACATATAATAATAGCAAAATAAAAATTATCATATGTTTTCTATAAATATTAATAATACCGATAACTATAACTATAACTATAAATTAGAAGAGATAATCAAAGAAAGGAATTGAAATTTTCGCCACAAAATCTAATTTTAAAATCTCTATATCTTTTTAACCTAATGGTGTAAACCTTTGATATTTCAAACTTAGATTATTTGATCAAAAAGAATTCATAGTTTAATCACACAATAGCAATCCATGTGCGTATTTGGGGGAGCCTGGGTCCACGTGCCCCACCCTGAACTCTTGGAGGGGTGGCGCCCCCCCCATGATATGAAATAAAAGCATCAAGGCATGAAAGACACAACGAAAATAGAATTGAATAAAGGTCCAGAAATACCTGTTAAAATTGTATCTTATTATTTATACAAATATGCCTGTAAAAATATAGATAGAACATGTGAAAACTGGAGTTTACAGACAGAGAGTAGGAGGGTGCTATGGAAACGCCTCAACACGGAAACGGACCCAAAAGTGAGTTTGGGTCCGTTTCCTTCTTTTTTCAAGAATTATCGGAAATCCCTCAAAAACTAAAAAGTGTAGAGGGATTTCCGAATATTTTGGGTCGGTTTCCGCTATATTTACATTTGATTCGTTTNTATTGGATCAAGGAATAATGCTTCTTGAAAATGCCAAGGCACTGAGGTAATTAATTTATAGACATGTTTGCTGCCTTACAGTGCAATTTAATCTGCTTGCATTTAATATAAGTTTTCAAAGATTTCCTAGAATTTTGGTTTAATTTCAAGTTCTAATTTTTACTTTAATATTGTACATTTTTTAAATGTTTACTTGACATCTGAATTTTTGTAATTGACAAAAAAGACATATTTGATTCACAACAGGTCCCTTGAAACCTTTATATGATCAATAATTAAAAAAAATACACATGCTTTTTAACTTTTAAAATTGAACATTTTAAATTGTTGGCTCAAGTTAAAGTTTTGGGGTTTTCTGATATAGTAACAAATAGAGGAAATTGTTAAAATGTAACACTTCAGGACAAAAAAAATGACGATATCTTCCACATTGATCAGGGAAAGATTTAAATGCTACTGTTCCGAATCAATCATGCCCTTCTTTTAATGAGGGGTAACTTTAGATTACTGCAATTAAGTCACTTAAATGTTGCTCAATAACTAGCTGTTTTCTTACATATCTACTTAGTATTTTTCCTCAAAAATCCTGTATTTCCTTCCCATCGAAGTTAGTTAATAGGGAAAACTGAATTTTTGGGTTTACAGGAAATAAAAATATCGAAAAGGTGAAAACAATAATCATTGCATTTCTTTAGTTCCTGGTATGCAAGCGATTGGAACAACCGTTAGCCATCAAGTTATAGGTAAGCAAAGAGTTTAACAAATGTAAATTTTTGGGTTCTACTGTTTTTTTTTTGTGTGAGAGGGGGGGGGGTTACATTTGGGGTAATTAAAATTATTTATTTCTTTTCTGGTTGAGTGCTGCGAGTAAGAACACGATTCAACGGAACATAAAGGGACTGTAAATGTAGTTTCCCAGTGACCCCCCATGCAAAGATGGCAATGCCCGATTTAAAACGGCACCCTTACAGTTTTGTCTGATCAAGTATGAATTAGATATCCATGTTTCCGTTTCTTTAAACTGTTCGTTTTATTAGCGTATTTTGTACTTGTTTAAAGAAGAAATTATTCGAGGTAAACACTTATAAGGTCAGGAAGACGACAGTATCTTTTACATTTTTGATCATATTTAGGTTACAAGGGTACTGTTGTAAATCAGGCATTGCAATCTTTGCATGGAGGGTAACTTTAAATTACGCTCACAGTTCCTTTAGATACTCACCTATCTTAATTAAAAGGTGTTGATTGCGAAATATAAGCGTCTGGGTAAACCCCGTAAATAAGTTTTCACAGAATTTGAGCTTGAACATGTTGAATTTTCTTGTTGTGACTAAATTGTATTATATCTCTTTGCGAAACAAAATATTTTGCATATAAATGTAAGATTACGCAATTTTTTTCATCTAAATTCAAAGTGCAAAACCTGAACAAGGGAAAACTGTTGATTATAGACGAAGATCATAAGTAAGTTTAAAGTTTAAAAAATCGTTTCTTTAATGATAAAATAAAAACAGCTGAAGATGACTTAATTATTTCTACCCTTTTCAATCGATGTTATCTAAATATATATATATATGGATTATATACATATATAAAAGTAGTAATCTGTTTCTTTATGTATTCGATTCAAAACTCATATGAACCCCTTTATGCTTATTTGTCTAAAATTTTGACTTGGGAACTCAGTGAACCACTGAAATAGTCTGAACAACTCTCAGTTTAATTTTTATAGAGAAAACTTCAGGCAAAGCTGGGTTTCCAAGCGATTCTTTAGTAATTCCATTGGATTGCAGATTTTATTTACTAAATTACCATTACGTTTTGCTTACTTTTTATAAAAGAAAGGAGTGTATTCTCAGACGTAGTTATTTTTTTCTTGATGTTCAATTTTACAATTTCAGGAAAGTTATGAATTAACCGGTCAACAACTGCTGGTTCTTTCTACAGACAAATCTCCTCCTGCTGAAAACTATCGAAAAGCTAATGAAGGAGCAGCTGGATCCATGGTGTCCTATAACTTCAGGTATTACTCACATTTCTTGATAAATCTGTACAAAAACGGTAATGTCCGATTTACAATAGTACCCTTAAAAGCCTTTTCTGATCAAGTATGAACTAGATATCCATGTTTTTGTTTCTTAAAACTGTTTATATGCATAAGCGGTTTCTCTGCAAAAGTGACTTTCACGTTTCTGACTTGCTATTAGCAATGAAAAAAAAGTACAAAACACTTATCGTGAATTGGGCAATGTCATCTTTGCATGTAGGTCAATTTTAAGTCAACTGGACTGGGAATGTATCAATTTACTCTATTTTTTCAGCGCGGTGTTCATATTGTTCTGACTGAAAGATTTAAACTTTGTGTTAGGACCATCACAACATTTTTTTAAAATGTCCGAAAAATGCGGGAAAAATAAGAGGGGAAATTATTTTTCCTACATTTTGTTGATTCAAAAACTAGATCACAATTCAGGTCTGCATGTAAAAAATCAGAGAGAAATCTCTAGTAATAAAGTCAGAAGGCTTCTTAGGCCTTTAGGAGAGAGAAAATGCGGGAAAGGGGGAGAAAATGGTATAAGGAGAGGGGGAAATGGATTATAGAGTCCAGAATTGAGTTTCCCGGCCCAATGCTGATGACTTTAGACACCCCACATGGTCCTAACACAAAGTTTTTGAAAAAAAGGACCGGAAAATGCGGGAAAAAATTAAGGGAAAAATTATTTTTCCCCCACTTTGGGTTTTGATTAAAAAACTAGATCACAATTCAGGTCTGCATGCAAAAAATCAGAGAGAAATCTCTAGTAATAAAGTCAGAAGGCTTCTTTTGCCTTTAGGAGGGGGAAAATGCGGGAAAGGGGGAAGAAATGGTATAAGTAGAGGGGGAAATGCATTATAGAATCCANAAAAACTAGATCACAATTCAGGTCTGCATGCAAAAAATCAGAGAGAAATCTCTAGTAATAAAGTCAGAAGGCTTCTTTTGCCTTTAGAAGGGGGAAAATGCAGGAAAGGGGGAGGAAATGGTATAAGGAGAGGGGGAAATGCATTATAGAATCCAGAATTGAGTTTCCCGACCTGATATTAATGACTTTAGACACCCCACATGGACCTATAACAAAGTTTTTGAAAAAATGTGGGAAAAATTATTTTTTCCCCACTTTGCTGTTTGATTCAAAAACTAGATCAAAATTCAGGCCTGCATGCAAAAAATCAGAGAGAAATCTCTAAAAACGAAGTAAGAAAGCCCCCCCCCCACACCCTTTGTATGGAAATGTGGACATTCCTTTTTGTATTAAATTTTTCTAGATTTAAGCAGACGCTCAATTGAAACCGGTTTTTGGGGGATTTTGAGACACGGCTTGAATTCATTAAATTTGGACACTGGGTGTGTGAACTTTTTATTTTAATGGATCTATAAAAGTTGTACTTTAGGTTGCAAAGATATAAGAGTTCCTTTGTTTCGTTTAGTTTTTGTTTACACTAATACTTTCATAGAATTGAAACTAAGACCCCTCCAGACTCCAGTAGCTTGCCTGTATGTCAAGTTGTGAGTCGGAAAATTGTTTATTAAAACCAAAAAATTTTATTTTAATAAACATCTTTTATTACGCTAACCTTGTTCTCAGTGCACTCAGATATAACTGGACCATTTCCTTAATTATGTTAGATGTGTATTATAGAAACATACAGTGTTGATATTCTTAAAGGGACAGTAAAGGAAAAATGAAAGGGGGTATAGACTGAAAGCTAATCACTTTAGCTCTCGATCGTGACCCATGAAAGTTTTATCTGATGTTCCTATCTCGAGAAATTGATTTACAACTGTGTCAAATTTATACGAAAATTAATATATATACAATTTTGTATAAAAGTAGTGGGTTTAAATAGATCAAATTCAGCAAATAAGCAACCAATCTGAAAACGATAATATCCCCGAGAAAGCTAATTATTACTTAGGTTTACTCCAATTCTAATTTTATATTTGTTATTTCTATTTTTAATAGATTTAATTCATAATATTATTTACACGTCCGAATTGCTTGACCAGAAAATCCACCAATGACAGTGCAGTAAAGTGGTCACGTGATACAGGCAGAGACACGTGATCAGTATACTGCTCTGCTATTGGTGATAGTTCTGGTCACGTGATTTAAGTTTAAGATTTTCTAAATTTGACATATTTGAACTTTCGTATGATTTTAACACAGTTTAATATCAATTTCTCGAGATAGTAACATCAGATAAAACTTTCATGGGTCGCGATCAAGAGCTAAAGTGATTAGCTTTCAGCCTATACCCCCTTACATTTTTCCTTTACTGTCCCTTTAAGGAAACAAAATTTCCAACAGTGCAGACTTAAAACCCCTTTTTCAAAATTTGGTTTGCCATTTTGCGCTTTTAAAATTACCAGAGATAATAAGAATTTTATACGTCGTTACATTTCTTTTAAATTTTATATACGATTTATTTTTGGTGCAGTAGCAAAATGATCGTTATCTAAAATACATATTATATAAAGAAAAGTAAAACGATTATTAGATTTAAACAACGTAGATATGCTTCGAATTGAATTCTAGATTTAAAACTGTAATATCTGAATGATAGGTTTTTTTAATTGAATTGTCTATGGTCTGGGTAAAAGTATGGGACTCCATGGATGTGTAAAGATAAAGAGTCCTTCGGTATGAGAATAGTCTGTAACCATTACTATTTAATACCTGTAGGGTCGTTTTCTTTCGTATACATGCATCCACTGAAACAATCTGCTGGTAGGGTAGACGTTTCCATTGTAGAATACCAGATAAATGTATCCCCGTCAGGTACTTTCTACAGGAAATGTGAGCGTAATTTCAAGAGATACTATATTTTGGTTTTAAAAATAGTTATATTTTTGGCTTTAAAATCAAAGAGAATAGAATTTACTGGAAAAAAGTGTAAAACGGCCATTTTGTTATACTGTTTCGATACTGCAGAGCCCGTTCTCTCCATAATAATGTTTAAACAGTGGTCGTGTTGTTCACGTACTTTGGGGGACGATTGTTTGGCCGCTAGATTTCTCTCGTAAGAACTATCTATCTATCAGATAAGAATTTATCAGAAAATCTAAAATTAATATTAAAAGAAAACCAAATTATGAAATAGGCTGGTTTCATAATTGACCAATGATCATTTCACATAGACTCTATGCCTTTCACTTTACAAACGATGATTTTCCGTTATAACTATAAATTAAATGATGTTTTTTATTCACCTAATTCATTTTATAAAGTTTATTTAATAGCTTTAAAAAATTCGAAATTGAAATGGATAGTCTAGGGAACATACTGCATTAATGTACTCTACTGCATACAATTTGTGAACATTTACATAATTTGTACACTTTGAAATTCCTTTCAGGCTGAAAGGAACTGACAAAATGCATACCGAGGGATTGTCTAAATTCCACTCTAATATATATTCTATTCTCTTTGTATAAAATGTTTACATTTTATTTTAAACGATCAGAAAAAAATCTTTTGTTTGTTTGAAGGGACTTTAAACCTAATTACAGGTGACCCTCAATACAAAAATAGTCTGATTGACAGCAGTACCGTTTAAGTCTTTGTCTTATTAAGTATGAATTAGATATCAATGTCTGTGATTTTTAAACGGATTGATTTCACTGCGGTTTCTACTACATGAATATATATTAGAGGGGAATTTACTAGAAAAAAGTGTAAAACTACCATTTTGTTGTACTGTTTCCATACTGCAGGCGTACTTCACATATTTATGCTATATAACCTTTTGGGCCTGGAATATCATTTTATAGAAAATCTAAAATTAATGTTAAAAGAAACCAAAATTATGAAATAGGCTGGTTTCAATGATCATTTCACATAGACTCTATGCCATTCACTTTACAAACGATGATTCTCCGTTATAACTATAAATCAAATGATGTCTTTTATTCACCTGATTCATTATAAATTTTATTTAACAGCTTTAAAAAATTTGAAATTGAAATGAATAGTCTAGGGAACATACTGTATTAATGTACTCTACTGCATATAATTTGTGAACATGTACATGGTTTGTACACTTTAAACTCCCTTTCAGGCTGAAAGGGACTGAAAAAATTCATACCGAGAGATTCTTTAAATTCCTCTCTAATATATATTCTATTCTCTATGAACAGATATTATAGAAATTACTAGAATTTGACATGTTTAACCCTAGAAAAAAATATTTCACATTTTTTAACATGAATAATTTAAGGGTACTGTATTGTAAATCGGGGAATGCCAATTTTGCGAGGAGTGTCGCCTGAAATTACGCTTACAGTCCCTTTAAAGATCATATTCTATAAAATAAATGTAAATATTGAAGACGACAAAAGAGTTCCTTGAATACAGCTCTTTCTGTATGGTTATAACTTCTAAAACGTTGCTATATTTGTCTTACTCTTCCTGTTGGTTGGCTTGTCCCACATTTTTGGCGGAATATTAACTACTGATGGGCATTGTTTTGAAGTTGGGGTTTCCTGACGTTAAAGTGCTTAACAAAGTTGTGAGTTATTTAACAAAATTGTATTCTCGATTAGTTTGCTTTTATTACATGATGCAATTTTTTTCTCTGATCAAAGAAAATAGCCAAAACGATTTTTCAAAACGGAAAGCTAAAAAGATTAAAAACAACGTTTTGAAAATACGTTTTGGTAAATATCTATTTATGATTGAACCTGTCAAATCATTCGTTGGGATGTTTAGAAAGATGAAAATTTCCCTGTATGATAATTGAAGGACTGCAGTATGGTTTTGGTGAATTATATTGGCGTACAAAGCCTAAGGGTGTCAGAAATGATTTTTTTTGCATATTTTTAAAAACTTCTATAAAACTTTTTAAGTTTCACTTTTGATAAAACTTTTTGTTCTGGATGATTGCAAATATCTATCTAAAACTTTCTTAAACCGGCATATTTTTTCTATATTCATTTAGTTAAGAGTTTGAGTCAAAATAAGTATTAATAAATATTGCTTTATATCGAGTAGATATCCTTAAACATACCGATGTAA